GTTAGGTTACAATAAAAATAAATAAATAAATAAAAGTGTATCTGTATGTGTGTTTATTGTGTGCGCGAACACAATCAGAAGCAAATCTATGCCCGTAACATCACATACAATCCAATTCAAAGTCGGTTCTTGTTTGCTTTTGCTTTATAACAACCCTATGATCTTGGACCATGTCCCATATATTGCGTCTTCTGAGATAATTTTATTTGAAACCCTGTCCCCATTGCACGTTTGCCCTACGAACATAGGGCATTAAGGTCCCTTGCAGACTGTGGCAGCAGGGGAGGAATCTAACAGGACAACTATAAAAATAAATAAAAAATAAAAAATATATATGGTATTTCAAATGTATAGAATAAAAGGTACTGTTATTTGTGTTTTTTTTTTTTTTTTTCCTAAATCACTGTTATTTGTTTATACCCACACCAACATTATTTAACCATGGCCTATCGGTTGCTTATGGCAACAAATATGATTTTTTGTAACTAAAATGATAAATTCAGTGCACAAGATTTTTGTCATTGAAAAATTTGCAGAAGGGGAAGTGTAGACAATCTTACGTGTTTGTATAACTAACCTCTGACATTATTTTCAGATTAAGAAGTCCTTCTTAATACTTGTATCCATCCCCATTTATATCTATATATGTATGTATATAAAATATATTATAACACAAAAATGTCATCTGTTATCATGGGTTGGTAAAATTAATTTTCTCCTCTTGTTTTTGGATCTTTAATTTAGAGTATAATATATTCTACCACTAGTCCTATCTGAGAAACATGAATGGATTGTCGGTTAATAGTACAAGTACTAAAATACCCTTTTATCATATACCGGTTTGGTCACTGTGTGTCATTTTATTGAAGCACTCAGAGACCCTTTTGAAGAAGGAATGGAGCAAAAAACCCATGGGAATGCTGAGAAGCTTTGGAGTGCCCTTGTGTACCTCAATTTTTAGTTTTTTTTTTCTCTCCTGAAACTGCAAGCAGCAATATTGGACTTAGAAGACAATAAATGTGCCATGCTATTGTGAGGTAGCCAATATTAGACAAGACACTACTAGTCTAAGAATCTTAGTTCATTTGGTTGATTTGAGCTATGGCCATGATTTTTGTCCAACAATTGCTGCCATCTAGCTGTGACTGAAAATTATAATATTCTTTTCCCTTATGTAGCACTCTTAGGTCCAAACACTACTATTTCGTTTCTTTTTCTTTTTCTTTTTCTTTTTTTCCGCTTCTCTGGTTTAAATTTGGTTTATTTTAGGTTAATTCTTTGACGATATCTCTACACAGAGTTCATTTTTGGATTGACACGTAGGCCGAACTCTAAATAATTCAAAGGGACTAAATCCCTTCGGATCGGATCATTTGGAGTTGACTCTAAACAATTTCGGTATTTATTTTATCAAGTAAGTTTAAAAAAGACTCAGTGTGGGTTGATCCCCAGAAGGTCTAGTTAATAAAATTTGTTAATATCACGCAACATCTAGGTGCGTGTAACTTTAGGGGGGCAACAACTCTAGACCCGTGACTTACAACAAACAGAAATGATTAAGGTGCATTTTAATTTCAAGATACATCCTTCATATTATTGTATTTCTGAAAATGATACATATATATGCACCACCTATGGACTACTAGGTTGATGACATGAATTCCTAAAATTTAATTACTTGTTTTGCTAAACTATCTTTGGATGTGATGTGATTACACCTTTACTTATACAGCCAATCTCCACTTTAGTTTAGATGGATTATCCCCTGTAGTGCTTTTTGCTTTTTGGTTTTGCCTTAGAGACTGTGGGGACAAATGCAATATTTAAAACAAATCACTTGATTATAGAAGGCAATTAATTACCTTTGTTTTTTTATCATTGCAAAGTATATAACACTATACATAACAATCAATAATACAGACAGGATAAAAAACAACATCCAAAGCTTTCCATGTTATACAATGGCTTTGTTTTTTCTTTTCTTTACTTTTCTTTTTTAAATATATATATATTAAATATAAAAACCTATGGGTCTAACATTACACACAACTAGGTTTAGGGCACATGAGATGACCAGTGTCATAGAAAATTGCCAAATTACAGGGCAATGTTCATCAAGAAAATGAGATCGCTAAAACTAATTTTAAAGAAAACAGCCTTAAGCTTGTTAGAAATACTCATTACTCCATTTTCTTTTTAATAGGTAATGATATTCAACCTCTAACGTCTAATCCTTCGTATTCTGACTCCGATTTTCTACTCTTATCATCTTCAGTGATTAACAGTAAGAGAAGTGGATTCCCTCCTATTTGAAGAGGCCGTATTAGGCCTTGTGCCTGTATTCCAAAATGACCTCTTCAAAATGCAATCTTATAATATTAATAAGAAATGTAATATAAATAACTTTATTTAGTGCAACCTCATTCAATTTGAATATTCTTTTTTTAAAATATTCAAAATGGTTTGGACCAAAATTTAATTTAATTATATGGTTGTGATGATGCAATCACTAGTTTGGCTGAGTATTCATGGTTCTCTGTATAGGGTTGGGGATTTTCTTTCCCTGATCCATGGAGGAAGAAGCCTAATCCATCATTAATTATATGAGATTTATAATATTTTTCTCATCTTGTATATAACAACAACAATACTGATAATATAATTCTCACCATGCCTGTGAACATGAAATTGTTACAAATGTAGTGTCCACTCAAGGACCACTTGAGATGCACTATAGGCGTGAAGCCTCTTAACTTTTATTTGGCATTTAAATAGTTATCACATGATGTTCAGCTCTTGAATCTAAGGCCAAAAGGGATCACTATATGTTGGTTACGTTGTTCATTGTAGACACAAAATAATCTTAAATGTTCAAATTATCAATATGATGCTTGACACATCGACTAATAGAGTCGTGATACAAGGTTTGAAATGTACCAATGTCGGTGGAACTCACGCTCTACTCACATTAGTGTAGTCAAATGCGTTTGACTTTCGAATGCTGTATCATTTTTCAAACTTTTTACGTCACAAATAAAAACAACCTTTAGATAATTAATAAACATCACAAAGTGATACCACTAATACTATAGAACTACGATTACATGAATTTTTTACCAATGGAAACAAAAAAGAAATACCACTAATAATTATAATCCTTTTGAAATTGTCACAGCCTCTCTCGCTTTTACCATGCTCAATTCAATCAAATCTATCATTCAAAAAATAAAAGCATAGCAAATTAAATAACTCATAGATGACACAATGCTTTGACTGTAAATGTGGGGCTTGCTTTCTCCATTCATCTCTGTTGCATCCCCCATATTAAAAATTCAAAGTGACTCCATATAGGCATGAAAAGATAGTAGTGACTCCAGATAGTTATAAAAAGATAGGAGATAGGTTCACATTTTATTTATTTATTTATTTTTGGCAAAAGCAATAAAAAAAATAAAATAAAAAATCTGAACTTTCTATGTGTGAACAAAATACCTGACTTTAAAAGTGACCAAACGATTTACCACTTTACAAACTTATTTTGAGTTATTAGGTAGCCCGCGGGCGAGCACCGCACTTTTGAAAGTTCATGAAATATTTGAGCAAAGATCACTTTTTTTTTTTCTGCAATTTTGACTTTTGGTTTTTCAGATCCTCTGCAAGTGGTGTACTGCATATGAGAGTTCATAATCCTCCTACGTGTGCACGCCCAGTTCGCATATGTAAGACTTGTGGAACTCGAATGCAGTAGATCACACAATTATACTATACCTAAGCTATTTTTTTATTATTATTATTTTAAAAAAAAACATAAATTACCATGAAAGGAACAGATTGGAATCCAATTCCTCACATTTCCATTGCGCAGCTTAATTTCCTCGAGTATATATATTGTCATTCAACGATTCAAAGGCCTAAAGCCAAAATAGCAGTACAGAGACGTAAAGCTAAGTCAAAAAAGACATACAAATCTTGAATCAAAGCAAATAAATGAAAAATAGGCTTCAAATTTGTGAAGAAAACAGAGTGCAACACTTTACAAAACAAATTTTCTCAAGTATTCAACACATAAAAGCTTTAAGTAAAAACTTACCTAAAAATAATAATAATAATAATAATAATAATAATAATAATAATGAAGCATTCAAGTAAAAGATGTGAAGCATGACACAATGCTTTGACTGTAAACATTGTGTTTGCTTTTTCTTTTTCACTCATCTATCTGTTGCTTCCCCATACCACCATGATTCCTCTTCACCTCAATTCTTAGATATACAATTATTGCAGTTATCATGCTATGTTGTTTGAGCACTGTTGAAAATTCAAAGTGACTTTAAAGGAGAGTTTTCAGCAATATGTTGTGTTTGTTGTCTTTGGTAGGTACTGTATGGTTCGATACATGCCCATACATACGACACCTTCCCCACAAACACAACATAACAAGGGCAATCTCCCAAAATAAAGAAGGGGTATTTAAGTCAATCACAAAAACTGGTATGGTGTCCAGTCTGTTTCTTTGACTATCCAGCCCATCCATCAATAAATATTAAAAATGAAAATTTCACAGAGACCAAGGAGGAATTATAATCAATTTTCTTGAATTTCAAAGTACCCATAAATGTGAGGGACTTATTAGTAATAACACACATGGCCTAATAGGGTGTCCAGTCTGTTCATTTGACCTCCTCTCACCTATCACTAGATTGCATTTACATTTTCTTCCATCACACTGATTACTTGTCTCCTCTGATCATAATTACTACTCACTTTTATATCTATATTCATATTAATATTGGCATTGTTGTTTGACTTAACAATTGGGTTTAGAAAAATAATTCAGAATTACGTAACCGTCTAATTTTAATTTATTTACGCATGTTGTTTAAAATTTTCTAATAATCAGTAACAGTCACTTTCTAAAAGTCATATATTGCTAAAAAAAATTTAAATAAAAAAGAAAAAGAAAAAAGAATTGCAATTTTGATGCTTCTCTTTTACTGTATGTAAGGCATTACCTACCACTGATAAGTCTATGGCTTCTTCTTATTATCCCCACCACCACCATTTCCACACAACCCAGAATTCCATGTGCATTGTTGTGTGTTGTGTGCAATTCCCTTCAACTTGAAAACGAGGGATTTCACTTTGTCATCTCATTTAATTAGGGGTTTTCAATAGGGTATTCAAAGATTTACAGATACCCATTTCAGCAATATTAAAGACTCAGATAGGGAATCCCACAAAACTGACTATATATTTGGGATTCTTGGCAATGGGACTGATTTGATGGTGTTTTCAATCAATGGGTTCACTTTTAAATGTGTTATAGGGCTTTGCCTATAAGAGATCTAGGGTTTAAACTTTTGATTCATTACCCTAGAGGAGTGTGTGAAAAAGATTTTTGGAGGCTGTTTATTTCTGAATCACATCACATACAGGTATGTGTATATATGCTCATTAACGTTTCATGTTTGTATAATTTTAGAAATTGAGACGTATAGCCTTATTTGGTTGGTTGTGTTGGTATATGGAAAGTAATAGATGACATGTTCTGTTTCTCTTTCAGTTTTATTTCTGTTATTCATTGGTTTTTGAAAAATTTGTGCTTTTTTCCTCTTTTTATTTTTTATTTATTATTTATTTATTTATTTTGAGTGCGCGTCAGTGTGTGTGTGAATTGTGTGCTTCATCTTTGATAGATTGGGAATGTTCTGTTCTCTCTCTCTCTATATATATATATATATGTATGTATACATATCTGTATATGGGTCCTTTATCTTTTACATTCTAATTTCAATTTAGAGTTTTGGAGGGCTGAAGGAAATGGTGAAATGTTTAATAATGCTACACAGTACCAGAATGCATTTAATCTAAAACTTATTTAGGTGTTCATACTCTTAGGTAAATGATTCTGTTTATCATATGTTGATGGGATAGTGATAAATAAGAATTGGGGGAAAAAAAGTCATTACAAAAGTAGATAATGCTTGAACTAGAAGAAGAGTACAGATGACATAGGAAATGGGTAAAGCTGAAAGAAAAAATTGTACTTTTTTCCTCCTTCGCTTTTATTTTGTGTGAATTGTGTGCGCTTCGCTTCATCTTTGGTAGATTGGGAATGGTCCCGTTCTCTCACTCTCTCTCTCTCTCTCTCTCTCTCTATATATATATATATATATATATATATATAAATATATATGTATGTATATAAATCAGAATATGGGTCCTTTATCTTTCACATTCTAATTTCAATTTAGAGTTTTGGAGCGCTGAAGGAAATGGTGAAATGTTTAATAATGCTACATAGTACCAGAATGCATTTAATCTAAAACTTATTAGGTATTCATATTCTTAGGTAAATGATTCTGTTTATCATCTGTTGAACTAGAAGCAGAATACAGATAATGCTTGAACTAGAAGCAGAATACAGATTACAGACACATGTGACATAGGAAATGCATATATGGAATTGCTTATCAAGTTATTCTATTTTCCAACTTGCAGGCATCTTGGTATTGGAAAAATGGCGTCTGATCTTAAAACTGAACTTTCTCAGAGAACAGAGATTTTCAATCTTAAAGTGTGGGTTGTGATAGGGATCTTTGTGGGAGTGTTCATTGTAATTATTCTCTTGGTGCTATCTTTTTGTCTTACTTCGCGAAAGAAATCCAGAAGGACTAATGAAAAACTTCCGATTAGCCAAATTCCAACTGTATCTAAAGAGATCAAAGAGATAGGGGTTGATCGAAATTCAGCAAACAACTTTGTTCCTCATGATGCAGAATTTCTAGTCCTTCATGACAAGTTCAGTGACAAAGACTCGGATAAGCTTTTGACGCATTTAAGTGCGGAGAAGACAAACAATGCAGATAATAGCAGTCAATCAGGCTCGTTCAGTCATATTGAGAAGGATGGTGATGGGTCACAATCAGGAGAAAAAGGAACTGCTGGGACCATTAATATGTACAGACCTTCTTCACATCCTATAACTGCTCCTTCTCCTCTATCTGGTCTGCCTGAATTCTCTCACCTCGGTTGGGGTCATTGGTTTACGTTAAGGGACCTAGAAGTAGCAACAAACAGATTTTCAAAGGAAAATGTTATCGGTGAGGGTGGTTATGGTGTTGTTTATCGAGGCCATCTGATCAATGGGAATCCTGTGGCTGTTAAGAAGCTCCTCAACAATCTGTAAGTTTTCAAATGAGCTAGATAACTTCTTATCTTATCCAATACACATCTTTATTTTTGTAACTAACTAGCTTATGTGATATTACTTATAATTTATATAGAGGACAAGCAGAGAAGGAATTCAGGGTAGAAGTGGAGGCTATCGGTCATGTGCGACATAAGAACTTAGTTCGACTTCTGGGGTACTGTATTGAAGGAACCCACAGGTACCATATTCCTTTAAGCTCTTTCTTTGTTATTTGGGATGACAGACTAGATAGTCTTTTAGCGTAGAGAAAGAAAACCCATATAATAATTTTTACAGCTCTTTTAATGCAGGTTTTTTTGTATTTTTCATGACAAGTGAAAAATATTAACAATATTTTATGATCTTTGTCATTTTTTTTTTTTGGTGGTGATGCTAATCAATTTATTTTATTTTATTTTTATAAGTAAGAGTTCACTGAAGAGCGCCCAAAAAGGGCGATGCGACCCAGAACAACTAAACAAGAAATATAGCCTCAAGCTTTCCATAAAAGACAAAAGAATCTCCATAGATTTACAATTAGAGCCCTGTACCCAAAAGAATAAAGAACTAAGAATAGAAAATCTAACCACCTCCAAGGAGATTCCAAGACATCAAAGGATCTCCTATTCCTCTCCTTCTAAAGAGCCCACCACAAGCACAAAGGAGCTGTCCTCCACGCATCTCTGAGTTGGGGGCGCACACGACAACCTCCTCAAGCATCAATCAAGCTCACTGAGGACTTCGGCATGACCCTCTAGATCCCGCACAAAGCAAATGTCACCCATCCCTAGCTCTAGGGCTATGCAGAAGGATATGATCCACTTATTATTGACTCCTCAGCCTGCTTGCAAATACCACACCAATTGACAATAATCTAATGTCTCCTTCTCAGATTGTCAATGGTCAAGTTACTTCCCAACGTCGCTGTCCAACCAAAAAAGGCCACTTTTAGTGGGGCTCTCAAATGCCAAATTCCTTTCCACGGAAAGAACAACCCCTGGTGCAAAACATTTTATAAATTAGTTAATTGATTAAGAACTTTCTCCACCAGCCTATAATATCCAAATGACTGCACCATTTTTTTGATTAGGATGGCCGATGGCCTTGTACTTGCTAAATGGGCTTCCTGTTTACAGAAAACAAAGGTTTACTAGTTATATATCAATTGATTTTACTGTAATTACCTAATGCATTTTCTTCGAATTGAATATATTAGAAGTTTTCATTTGAATTGAATCTATTGAGAAGATATTATTTGTGACCAGATAATTGAACTTTGAAAATGTGTCAGCTTCCTACTATTATAGGATTTTGATTTACTTCTCTATTTTAATCAAATTTCAGATTGTTGGTGTATGAGTATGTCAACAATGGCAACTTGGAGCAATGGCTTCATGGAGCTATGCGTCAGCATGGATATCTTACTTGGGAAGCCCGCATGAAAGTACTTATTGGCACTGCAAAGGCGTAAGCTCATGCATTCATAGGTTAATATAACTTAGTAACAGTTGCCCTGGCTTTGTATCTTTTTTCACACTTGATATACTTGTTGCAGACTTGCCTACTTGCATGAAGCAATTGAGCCAAAAGTAGTGCATCGAGACATCAAGTCGAGCAACATACTGATCGATGATGACTTCAATGCTAAAATTTCTGACTTTGGTCTGGCCAAGTTGTTGGGTGCTGGAAAAAGTCATATTACAACTAGAGTTATGGGTACCTTTGGGTGAGTATAATTTTTAATGGCTATGCTGTAGTTCATTCTGTCTCATCATATTCTTTCATTTTTTATGCTTAAATATTTTTTAAGCAAACTCAAATGGTCAATAATTGTGGACTATGATCATTTTCTTTCCTTTTTGACTTATTTCTAATTGTACAGATATGTGGCTCCAGAATATGCAAATAGTGGCCTTCTAAATGAGAAGAGTGATGTTTATAGCTTTGGGGTTGTGCTTCTGGAAGCTATTACTGGAAGAGATCCAGTTGATTATGGTCGCCCTGCACCTGAGGTATGCAAGATTATCAATTCCTTTATCATGAGAGAATTGCCGAATTTCCAAAGGCAATTACCCTGGATTTCATGTTGATGAACTATGATTGAGAGATGTTCATTTCAGCCTACCAATTTTAAGTTTACTTGAATTAGTACTTGCTCACATTTGTGTATAATTAGGAAATACATGCATATTTTAAATATTGTAATTTACATATTGCCAGCTTACGGGATTAAGCTACACAAGTTGAGGTACACAGTGCACAACTACATTTCAGTTGAATTGATTAGTTGGTCTTTGATGTATTTAATGCTCAATAGAAAATTGGCATAATTTGTTCTCTTCCCAGGACTGAATAAACTTAATACAATCTGGTCATTTAAAATGTCTTTATTGTACTAATTCTTTCCTAATTTGTTGTTAAACGGATTATGTTTTATTTAGGGAGGTAAAGGAACAAATTTGGTTGCATTCTTGATATAGGAGCAATCTAATGCAATAGAAATCTTAAATATGGATAACTTACAAGTACATCATTTCTTGGAGTAGTGAAAAGGTATCAGGGAAGACCAAATTTCCTGTTTTATGAGCTCAATTGATGAACTAAAATACAGGGGTTTTATTCTCCCCTAAGAATTGTGTTAACCTTTGGGTATGAATTCCGTATAGGAGTATTGTTGTTTGAAGAAGCTGTTTTCCATGAAATTATCCCTCCCTCATTATGAAATTACTTCTTTGATTAAAACTCCACCAGAAACTGATATCATTGATCCCGTTGAATGAAAACCACTTGCGATCTGGGTATCTTTCATATTTATTTGCCCATTTATCTTCAGAACACATACCCCTCTAAGAAAGTGTTTGGAATGGCGTCATGCAGTGTCCTGATTTCTGAATTTTGTGACTCTTGCAGGTAAATCTGGTTGATTGGCTCAAGATGATGGTTGGCAGCAGGCGCTCGGAAGAAGTTGTTGATCCAACTATTGAGATGAGGCCATCTACAAGCGCCCTTAAACGAGCTCTATTAACTGCTTTGAGGTGTGTTGATCCAGATGCTGACAAGAGACCAAAGATGGGTCAGGTTGTACGTATGCTTGAATCAGAGGAATATCCCATACCACGAGAGGTTCGACTCTGAAATTTAAAATACATTAACACCACCATTTCTGATGTTATATTATTACTAGAAGAATCTTTTATATAGAGAAGATGTGAAACCTGTGGCATTTCAGATATTGTCCTGAAATAAATTAAAAGTTTTCATCAAAATAAAGTCCATATTAATTCATTATTCAATAAGCATGTACTTTACTATAAAATGCTTCTTCCTATGTTTTAATTTTCCAAAAATTTTTGAACTCTATTTTGCAACATGGTTTTATTTAATCAAACCCCCCTCAGCCTGTAACACATTTGAACTCTCAGGATCGAAGACGACGGAGAAGTCAGACTGTGACCACAGACGGTGAATCACAGAGGGAGATTTCTGACACAGATGGGGGTGACAATCCAGACCCAAGGTCAGAGAGTAGAATGAATCACCAGGTGTGACCAAACGGGCAAGTAATTGAATGTATTTGAGCAATGTTAGCTAAAGGGTCATACCTCCCCTTCGATCTTTTCGAGTTTTGTGGATCTGCATTTTGGATGAACAGGCCGGAAGCTGAGCTATAAAGGCGTAGCATATTTTGTCTTTTGGTTTCTTATTTCCTACCTGTAGATGTTGAGGAGAGTTATTATTTTGTCATGAAAATAGAATCATCATGAAATACCCGTACAACTGGTACTTTGTACATATTGTCAATTTTTTTTCCATTTTTCTTTCTTTTTTTTTTCTTTTTTTTTTCCTTCTTTTTGTGTTGTAAAACTTTTTTGTTCATAGGAGGATTATTAATGAGTTGCTGTGAAGAACAGCATAAAATCAAAGGATATGATTTTGTGAGTGCATTGAAGAAAATTTTTCAGCACATTGAAAATTGACACTGCACCCCCAATCTGAGTATCCAAAACTTGGGAAAGACTTTTATGTTGGTACCTGGTTCCGGTTTTCTTTTCACATTTCACATTTCACATTTGTATTGACTCTCAATTTTTGAAATTTTATTAAAAAATAAAATTACACAACCAAAAAAAAAAATGTTAGAAAGTGTTTCTAGGAAAATTTCCTGAAAATGGTCCCTCTTTAAGTTGCTGTTAGTCATCCTAAAAAAGTTAGTCCTTAATAAAAGAAATTTGAAAACGACCATTAGTCTAGTTGATATAACTCCTCAAAAGAGTGGTGAAGGGTAGGGTTGGCAATTTGTGTTTGTGTCGTGTCGATATAAGGGTATTATACTAAATAGGTAAATCCAAACCCAACTTATTTAATAATCGTGTCAAGAATTTTCAATACTAACCCAACCTGTTTATTAAACAAGTAAATGCGTTAACTCGTTTAATAATCTGTTTATCAAAACGAAACATTTAATATTTAATTAAATACTAAATAATAGAAAAAAATTGTCATAATTAACCAAAATATTAAAAAAATAATAATAAAATCATAAGGCATAGATAATGTTTATGTTGAAGTGACTTAACTATTCATAATAAGTGGGTTTAAACAAGTAACATATTACATAGATCATATTCACGATTATAACATGTTGAGTTAAATGAGTTATAAACAAGTTACACGGGTTAAACTCCTCAACCCTAATTCAACACGGTTAAATAAGCGAATTAATCGTATCAACCATTTTATGACCCAAACTTGTTTATACCAAATCCAAATCCTTTTAACTCGTGTCGTGTTGTAATTTGCCACCCCTAGCGAAAGGCACGAGGGTATGAGCCCCATGGTTGGCAGGTGAGGTGGCTAGGGTTTCCTAGGATGGATAAGCATTTCCGGTTACAGTGGAAGATTTGTGGACATGGGTTTCCTAGGATGGAAAAGCATTTTCGGTTACAATTTGTGGACATTTTGAAGCTCAAACCTTTGGCTGTCAAATTTGTGTTTGGCTGTCAAATTTGTGTTTGCAAGTATGGTCTGGAGTTGTGGTTACATTGGATGCTAGGAATGCTCCAATTGTGGGCATCCGACCAGCCTAATGTCAGTCTGACCATAACTTCCGCTGTTTTGAATAACATTCCACGCGCCATCCATTAAAAATGCATGCCATGCAAGGCAGATTTCAACTTTATACCAGGAGCATGAGAGAGAGAGAGAGAGAGAGTCCAGATATAATACATGAACACAACACACAACCATGAAAATCAAGAAGCACTAATTATTATGGAGGCACCTAATTCACCAAAAGATCAGAATCAGCTGGATATGTCCATACTTCATAATTATATATATAATTCTCACTTGCTATTAGTGTTAAGAAAATCTTTCAAGACCATAAAATAGTCAAAGAATACAAGGCTGTTGTAAGCAAATCAAAACCTTAAATACAAGCCAAATGAAAAAACTGCCGTGCCATTTCACGGTGCTTCTGAACAAAGATTCTATTCATTACACAAGAAATTCCATTAAGTTCTCCGATGACTTGAGGGTATCAAGTAAACGATACCTGATCTACAACCACCTATCATAAAACAAATCTTTATGACATATTTGGCAAGAGAGACTTGATCAAAGAGGGGAAAATCACAAGTTTGGTGTTTCACTGGGTGGTCCAGCTCGAGCATTCAACAGAGGTTGGAGAGCTTTTACGACAATGCTCATGTTTGGCCGGAAATCAGCTTCGTATTGCACACACAAGGCAGCAACGGCAGCCATCTGTTTCCAGCACACAACAATAACAAACAAATCAAGAGTAGAATATCAGTTCAGAAATTCATCAGAAATTAAAAGGTTCTAATTCAATTGATTATTCATCAGAGGTACAGACAGTAGTGCTTCAATATGAAGATGGCAATACCGAATATCACTGCCCACTGGCCATCAACTAATAATAAAAAAGAAAAAGAAAAAGCCGAGACCATGATGTAATCAAGTACCACATCCAAATTACCTTTGCGACTGCCTTGGGAGGGTATTCCCCTCCTAGTCTAGTGTCGACGCACTGCTTCACCTTATCTTCACTGAGTTTTGGTGTAGCCTAAAAATAATTCAGGTGTGAAAGAATCAGTTTGGATTGAAAATAATAAGAAAAGACTAATCAACTGAAAGTTCAAAATAAAGCATGCAAGCATTTCCAAAAAAAAAACTTTAAATAAATAAATAAACTAGGGTAAAGTGAGCACCCATGTCACAAGACTCTGTTGTCCACGTGGCAATGTATGGTCAACAGGTTTACGCCCAGTCAAGAGCTCTAAGAGGACGACTCCAAAGCTGTAAACATCACTCTTTGAACTAAGCTGCCCAGTCATTGCATATCTGCCAATACCAACATCAGAAAACATAAACCATTATGAATTTGCTAAGGTGCCAACTTCATGATAATAATATGAAGAAAGACAAATGGGGGTTGGGATAAAGTAAATTGTACTTCATAGTAGAAAATGTCATGTTATCAGATGGGTAGACCAATTGTCAACTAAAAGCATAGATGAGCTCATGGCAAAGGGGCTACCCAAATTGCCTGTATTTGGTGGAGTGAGTTGATTCTCAACAACCGCCCTATTTCAAAGCAAAACAAGAGCTTACTCTGGAGCATGATAACCAAACGTTCCAAGAACACGAGTGGAATGAAGACGTGCTGCCATATCAGGGGCTTGATTTGACAAATCGAAATCCGCAATCTTAGCAACATCATCATCAAAAAGCAAAACATTGCTTGACTTAATGTCGCGATGGATAATATGAGGTCGTGCCTTTTCATGTAAATATTCAAGTCCTTTTGCAGCCCCAACAGCAATTTTAACCCTTTGTGCCCATGATAGAACTGGACCTGGCTGTGCCCCTTTGACACCTTTCCGTCCTACATCCACAAATTGAAGAACATTACTCATACATCAAGGAGGTGAGAATACCTAATAGTCTAATATTCAAAAACAAGCAGCCCGCTGAAATAATGGAACAAAAAATAAATAATAAGAGAACATCACCAAGTCGTCATATTTCAACTGCAGTTTCATTAATTGACATTGATACATGTGAAGAAGCTTAGGAGACAGAATTAAAAAGAAATGATGCGCTTCCTTATTTCCAAGCTAAAAGTTAATTGCTGCTGACAAAAACAATATATAATCAAACAGAGAGGGCAAGAAGCTGCCAGCTAGCCCCGAAGTCTTCTAATAGAATCCAACCCCCAAATGAGTTGGAAGGTCTAAGGAAAGTGCCTTTTCATGTAGCCCAGCTATTTGCCACACACACACACACACAATAAAAAAACAAAGGGATTGAAACTGGAACAGAAGTGGCAAAATTGACTTCAAGGAACTATCTCCACAAAACAAAAGAGGGTTGCAATGCTTTTGCATTCTGGATATCTAAAGTATCTTTCAGGTAATACTAGGACATATTTAAGAGAGAGCAATTGTATTGCGGCAAGAATGGAGGAATGCATCTCTCCTCTCTAATAAGGTTCACAGCAAGAGGCTGCCGTCACTATCTATTCTCAAAGTCGTGAAAACTAACCAGGACATGCTAAAGCCGAAAGCTATAACATTCGCCCAAATATAAACCTTCATCACTTAAAAACACCAAAAAGTACATTTAGCAGTGATTCCAAATTCCAAAGTCGGAAGACCGATTTGAATCAGTCTATATTACCAGTACTAGCAAGGAACAAGATTCAGCTTGACATAGGAAATACTTAACACTACTAACCATGAAGAATATCATGAAGGGATCCATTTGAAGCATACTCATAGGCAAGGACACGGAGACCACCATCTACACAATAACCAAGTAGCTCGACAACATTTTCATGTTTTAGCCTCGATACCATAGAAATCTGTAAAGTCACGAATGAACTGATGAAAATTTTGAATAGAAAAAGTTACATATGATGTAGCTTTTAGTGAAACATAACATGCTGCACTAGGTCCAACCTGTCCCAAGAATTCTTGGTCTGGTTGCTTACTGGAGTCCAACTTTTTTATAGCTGCAGCCTGTCCGCTTCTCAGAAGACCATGGTATACTCTTCCATATGAGCCCTCACCAATTAAAGCCTTTGTGCCAAAATTTTCCGTGATATCCTTCAATTCATCCACTGGAATAGCAGGGACAGCAATAGGCTGAATATCTACAGTTTGCGTGTCCTTTGGTGCAGCTTCTGTGGCACGATAACCTCCATTATTTCCTACATGATGAACTTTCCCTCAGTTTCATATTCATAAAATCAGTAGACTTAAAGTACAGAGAAAAAAAAATGAAATAGTAGTGCAAGATGCAAACACATGATGACTTTGATTGCATCACATGTTGATGCAGGCAACCAAAAATTAAAAAAGAAGAACATATAACATAAACCAAACATTGATAATTGTACAAACAAATCAACATAAGATAAATTATCAAAAAGGACATGTTCAACTTTCTACCTAGTAGCAGTAGGAAAAAACACATCAGCATTATAACTCTCTCCAAATTTAGTCAACAAACATTTTCACCAAGCCAAGTAATGAAAATATGAACATTGTAATTCATCTAAAAACTCATTCTCATGCAAAAAATTCACCTGCTGAATTATTCGCCATGAATGGTCCATTATCAGTAGCTTTTTGCATATCATCTTCTGCACAACAGCCAAAGCAGCTCATGATTCCTTTTCTTCAAATGAAAAGCTGTTGAGCTAGAAAATGCCTTCCGCTGAAAATGTAAACAAATATCAATTCTTGAAAAACAATAATTTGACAGGAAGATAGTGGAGTTGATACGGGGGCAAGTACAATGAGTAAAAAGACCACATCCCACATCAGTATTAGAATGCATTCCTTTATGGTATAGACATTATTTTTTTCCTTTTCTGTTTTACTTTTTCTAATAAATTTAAACTTTAAACATAAAAGCAGAGAGCAAACACATATTCCATGATCACCAGATGATATGAAATACAAAACTGTTTTAGCATGAGTAAAGGCAAATCCAGTTGCACTGGCGGCCGTATCTAAAGGTCACTTTTTGTTACACTAGGCCAGGACAGCAGACGTTGTGAGCACATAAGAAATAAGACAAAGTGCAACTTCTAAAAAGTTATATTTTGATAGACATAACAAGATAAAGAGAGACTGAGAGGGAATAACAAACTAAAATTGATTTAATGTGTTGTTCTGTAACCAAGAAGACATGCATTTTAATTACATAATTTCACTCAATGATGCTGAAATTATGGCTATCAGATGAAGCTAAAATTGCAATTAAAGTGATATGCCATAACTATAACCCTTGTACCTTTGACATCATACGAAAAGTAAGGGTAGGAAGAAAAAAGCAACATACTTACTATCTCCATTAAACACACGTATATCACCTGCCATTTTCCTAGTGATCACAATGATCAATGCAATATAAGACTCGACAAAAACCCATACAGATGATGATCAAAATCTTTCTAAATTACTAGTCAATATATCTGATGAACTCCAAGAATAGGACAATCCAATTCCATTTTCCTCATATGTTACTCTTGCCCATTATCTGGTAGGCTTCTTTGTTTCTGCTCTAAAAAATGTAAATCCATGAATTACAACATGAGAGAAAGTAAGGTTTGAATTTTTATTTTATTTTATTTAACTTCTTCCAGTTTATGAGCGACCAAAAATTGGCATAGAACAAAAATAAAGGGACAAAATCAAGAATTTATTACTACCCTTTGCAGTGATTACTGTCCAGAAAAGTCAATTTAACGAAACATTATCTCATAGAACTCCAAGAATAGGACAATCCAATTCCATTTTCCTCATATGTTACTCTTGCCCATTATCCAGTAGGCTTCTTTGTTTCTCTCGTCAATCAAAGAAAAATAAAAGAATAAAATTCTGAAGTTGCTCTAAGAATGTAAATTCCATGAATTACAACATCAGGGAAAGTAAAGTCTGAATTTTGATTTATTTATTTAATTTAAGTTCTTCCAGTTTATGAGCGACCAAAAATTGGCATAGAACAAAAATAAAGGTCAAAATTAAGAGTTTATTACTACTCATTGCAGTGATTACTGTCCATAGAAGTCAATTTTACGAAACATTATCTCATCGTACAGTGATTATGTGAATGAAAGGAATCATAATGCAGTTCCAGTTACCCATTTGATCCAGTTCACCCAATCCAGATCAAAATCCAAAAAACCGACAAAATATCACCCGATCAAGCAAAACCATTAATTATCAATTGAAACATCAAAAAGAATCAACATCAATTTTCAATTCTAGAGACTAATCGGTGAAAATAGTAGTGAAACCGATGAAAATCCAGTCCTGAGAGCAAATCAACCAAGAGGCAAAAGTATGAAGTCAAAAAAATCTAGGGTTTGAGGTCAAATCAAAGAAGTTGGCAGAACTTTGGGGAAAGAGAAACTCACCTTGTCTCGTCTGTGTCTGAAAATGTAACTGTTTGTCTATCAAACACAGAGGATCGAAATACCAGAGCACATAGATATTTTAGAAAAACACACAATTAAGGAGAAACTAATATAAATAGACATATATTATACTTATATAGTTGGTCTGTCTCAGTCAATCTTTGACTTGTATGCTCAAGGGATCGCACCTTACTTTTTACCAAGCGGAAATTTCTCTTTAATTTCTTATTACCATATTTTTATACGGTTTTTGAAAATATTTTATATTTTTTATACTTTATATTTTTATATTGAGGTGGGTGTTAAGGGTGTACAAACCGGTTAAACCGATGGGATCAAACCGGGTGGATAGATTTAGTTTGATTTTTTTTCACATTTTGATTTAGTTACCACTTTTAAAATATAGAATCATTTATAAACCGTTGGATTATGATTTGAAGTTTTACAAGAGCATATTAAAAAGCGAATCGTTTTAAAAATTATATATATATTTAATTATTTATATATTTTGTATTATAAATAATAGAATAATAAGAGTACCTTTAAACTATTCAACTATATATCATAATATATAATAAAAAATTATATTATATGTAATATATATGCTTAATTTTATTAAATTCTAAAAAATGCTTAGAACCGTGGAACGGAACCATGGTTTGGTTCTAAAATATTTTCAAATAAATTCAATCTGAACCATGTACACCCTAATTATGGTAAACTTATTTTTGGTGAGATGGAAGTTTTGAGTTTAAAATCCGAAATAATTTTTTTTTATAGGTAGATAAGATTGTATAAATGTGACCTTTCAAACTTTTTATAAGTAAGACCGCGTATATGTATGTGACCTCTAAAACTTTTTTTTCTTAATCCTGTAAATGTGACCTACCATCAATGGCTTTTATATGATTTTTGAAAGGAAAATGATATTATTGACTATTTTAATACCCCGACTTAAAACACAATATTATTATAAAAATTTCAACTTAAATAAACATCATTATTACTTCCGTTTGTTTCCATAAAATACGTCAATTTCCCTTTCTTTATCTTCTCAGTTTTCCATAATTCCTTTCCTTATCTTTTCAGTTTCCTATAATTCATTTCCTTATCTTTTCAGTTTTCCATAACTGTATCATTTTCTTTTCGTTTGCACAATAACTTTCATGGTAGTCAAATATAAGAATTTAATTGGTACAAAATCTAGAATAAAAACTCCAATATTTTTCAATTTTTCAATGCTTTATAATTTTTCTTTAAATTTCTCTCTTTGTTTTTGTTTATGGAGTTACATAGATCATTAGTTTTGAACATTATAATAATGAACAAATGCCTATCTAATTATATGTAGGAGATGCAATCTTAAGTATTTATGCCTTAGTGAGTTGCAATCTTAAATATTTATGTCTTAGTGAGATGCAATGTGATGTATATATAAAACACATATATAATTTGATATACATAGTAATTGAATATTTAATCGCCAACAAGATACTATATTAAGATGAAATCTAAAAAATGGATTACAACTTTCTAAATAATTAATTACCTTATATTTTAAAATGGATCCCATTATATTTGATATATAAGTAGTCACATAGACTCCATAACACTTTGGGTGCTTTTAATTACCAATAATTTTGTAAATTTCTTCTTTAAAAATTCAATTGAATGTAAATATGGCAAAAGTGAAGTGTCCATAGACTCCATACATAGCTTCTTTTTTTTGGGAGTGTTACATATCTTTACCTACCTAAAAAAAAAAAAAAGTATATAGGATTTGTATGACACTTTAATTTCTTGGTATTTTACTATGCTACGTGGATATATAGCATAATTTTTCAGTCCCCTAACAATTATTATTATTATTTTTTGTTATACTTGTTCATATCAAACAACAAAATTTGATACATTTGCTGTTAAATGAGTTATATAAAAAAGATATTGTTTCAAATGCTAGGATTAAAGAATGTCAACGCCGTGTTATTTTTTCCGTATCATTTTTCCCACCCGATGTTCACATGCTACTTATTGAACCATTCTAAAGGCTGGTGCAGTGTGAACAATTTGGTTAATTAAAATACTCCACTAAGATAATACAGAGTATTATATATATATATATATATATATATATATATGAGTTTTTTATTTTGGCATGGTCTGCTGCAAATGGGGGGGTCTTAGATTACTTTTTTTTTTCTAGTGGAAAGGATTTAAAAAATGATGTCACAGGCTGGTGACCTAATCAGGACTCTTTTCTAACTCTAATGTATGGCATTGCTGGGCTTTGCTGGCCTATGTGATTATCATACTTGGCATTGCTCTGACTATGATTACTCCGCGTTAACCTTTAATTATTACATGAAAATTGTTTTTCTTTTTTTTCCCACTAAAATAATATTCTCCTCATCCTCTTATTTAGGAAAATGTTATCCAAACAACAGTTTAGGCCGACTCCATGGGACTGTTTCACAATTATCTCAAACATGCATTAAAGTTATTCCGGTTAGAAACTTAATTCTGTGTTGCCAAATTTTGTTGTCAAAAATTTGTATTTATCCAGTTGTAATTTTTATTTCTTTATATCTTATATTAGATGTGTTGCCAAATTTTGTTGTCCAAAAATTGGTATTTATCGACTTGTAATTTTTACTGTATTTCTTTATGTCTCAGTTTAGAAGTGTTCCAAAGGTGTTTTTGTTCTCTAAAAAATAAAATAAAATAATAATAATAATCTTGCCTTGGTTGTTCATGTTTTTGGAGTGATTTTAATTTAGTCCATAATTCTCTAGTACGGTAGACTCATACAATGTTATAAAGGGAGTCTTGTCCCACATCAATTCGGATCAAAAGTGAATTAGGTATAAATGAATTGGGTGTTAGTCCCATTTAATAGTTTAAGCTTTTTAGGTCGGATCACAAAGCACCCGACCCATTACAGTTAGTATTATAGTTAAATTCAGTCCTTGGTACGGTGTAAATCGGGGCATTAGACGAAAAAAAAAAAAGTGACATTTTCATATCATAATATGCAATATATTAATTATTAAATAATAGTTAATAAAAAATCACCCTTCTTCCTTTTTGAGATGCAAACTTACTAACTAAATTCTTATACTCAAGTGTGGTTAAAATATCTTTTTCAATAGACAATATAGCCAATTCATTTAATCTTTCTTGTGACATAGTTGATCGTAGATATAATTTTATCAACTTTAATTTTGAAAAACTTCTTTCTGCTATCGCAACAGTTACATGTATTGTCAATAATATTCTATAAGCAATGCATGCATTTGGAAAAGAATCTAATCTTTTAATATAATTTAATATTTCAATTGAAGTGTTTATTTCTATGTATAAAATTTCTTTTAAACTTTTAATTCTAAAAATAAATCTAAACCATCAATATCATAAGACTCATCATGTTTTAAAAATAGTTCTAAATTAAGATAATATTTTTTCAAACTTTCATCATCTAATGATTTTAGCTTTTTGAAATTAAACAAAAAACCAAAAATATCTTCATATATTTTAAATCGTTCAAACCTTCTATGAATTGAAGAAATAGTTTGATCAACTATATATATAAAATAATCTATCCTAAAAATTCTTCAGGTGATTGAGTTGATTTATCATCTATATTCTCATCTAATTTTTTTTTTTTTCTACGAATTATACGTTTTTCATGAAAAACAAGTTCTATTTCCATTTCATCAGCAATTTCTTTAGCTGAAATGATAGCGGATGTAAATTCATTTTCTTGATATTTTGTGAAAAAAGAAATAAGACCTTTTAATTGATTGCAACATCAATGTGCATATCTTGAGATTGTAAATTTTTACGAACTGAATTAATTGCAAATAATATGTCATACCAAATAGTCATACCCAATAAAAACTCAAAATTTTCAAATTCGTACATTGCTAAAAATTTAGCTTCACTTCTTGTCTTAAGATCTTCACTTACTTTTTCTAATTGAAGTAAAGCATCTCTTATTTGTGGAGCTTGAAATCTTATTGCTTTAACACTTTCAATTCGACTTTCCCAACGGGTTTGTGACAACGACTTAATAGTTAAACCGGGTACATTATCTTGTAAAAATTTTCACCGTTTTGTGGATGAAGAAAAAAATGAATATATGCGTTGCACCACTCCAAAAAAAGATATAACTTTAGGACAAGAATTGGCCATGTCACAAAGTAATAGGTTAAGACTATGATAACCACATAGTGTATAGAATGCTCTAGGGTTCATGTCTAGTAGTCTTTTTTGTACACTTGATTTTTTCCTTTCATGTTAGATCCATTATCATATCATTGTCCTCTTACATTATTAATATCAAGCTCGAGGTTTTTTATTGCATTTATAAGTTCATCAAAAAGGCCTTTTCCAGATGTGTCAAAAACTATTAGAAATTCTATACAAAATTCTTATAGTTTTATTGGAGTTGTTGAAATATCCATACATCGTAATACAAGACACATTTGCTCTTGATGACTTGCATCTGGAGTGCAATCAAGTATAATTGAAAAATATTTTGCTTCTTTTATTTTTTTAATAATTACATTTTTTATTTCAAATGCTAATATATTTATTAATTCATTTTGTATGTTATGTCCAAGATAGTGATTATGAGTCTCACCATGTTGAGTACGTCATATATGTTCTTACATTATTGGATCAAACTCTACAATCATTTCAACAAGGCTTAAAAAATTCTCATTATTTTCTTGATATATTTTCTCTTTTTTTTTTTTTTTCCACAAAATGCAAATTATTTTTGGCAAGATTTTTCGCAATAGCAATAATTCTTTGTAAAACTTTTTTTCCAATGATCTTTCTCTTTATTAATTTGATCTTGGATGCTTTTATCAATTGTCTTATTATTTAATAACCTTGCTTCTAAATCTACCTAAGAGTTCATGCTAGTAATATGCTCATTTGTTGTTTCGTGATTTTTTAGCTTAGCACTAAGATTTTTTCAATCTCTAGTTCCATCACTAGCTAATTGACTCGTGTTATTCTTTGAATTAAACAACTTACAACAAAAACAAAATACTCTATCTAAATCTTTTGAATAAACAAGCAATTTTCTATCGTGCTTCTCTCCATTTGGTAATTTTCAAATATAATATGAAGTGGAAAAATGCCTA